CTCTCCGAGAGGGACAGAGGAATCGAACCTGGTTGGCCACGTGCAAGGCAACTACCCTACCCGCTATGCTATTGCTCCAGCCCTATGCTAGTAGGAATATATATTGCTATAGCCCGAAGGAAAACTATTGAGAGTCCCAAAAAAATTAAAATCAGGGGCTAGGACAATAGTATAACAGTGGGGCGTTTGCTTCCCATGCAGCGGACCCACACAGGCATGCATATGGTTTCCAACGCCTGCTTGGTGTGCTCCCTGAGTGCAGAGCCAGGAGTAAGCCCTGAGCATCACAAAGTGTGTCCCCCCCAAAATATTAAGACGTTTAACCACCATATGATCCATATGATCCAATAATCCCCTTTCTCTGCACTTATCAGGATGAAATGAAATTACTGTCTCCAATGATATACATACCCCTGGGTTCATTATGTTTTAAAATGAATTTATTTTTTAAAAAATGAATCACAGTGAGAAACACAGTTACAAAGTTGTTCACGATTGGGTTTTAGTCATATAATATTCCAACACCCATCCCTTCACAGTATACATATCCTACCACCGATGTCACCAGTTTCCCTCCCACAACACCCCCTCCTCACCTCTATGGCAGGCACTTTTCCTCTCTCTCTCTCTCTCTTTCTCTCTCTCTCTTTCCCTTTGGGCATTATGGCTTGTAATACAGATACTGAAAGGTTATCATGTATATCCTTTTACCTACTTTCAACACTCAGTTCCTATTCAAAATGATCATTTCCAACTATTACTGTGATACTGGTCCCTTCACTTCCCTAACAATACTTCACCTCCCACACACTTGATCAAACTTCCAACATTGATCATTTTAGTATTATAATTATAATTATATTATTATTATAGTAGAGCATTATTTTTAAAATTACAATATAGAAGCAATATAAATGCTCATGAACAATAGTGAACAGAGTGTATATACACACCTAGAGACACACACAAAGGAATAATAGTTATAAAAAAGAATGCTTGGGTTTAGGGAGAAAGTGCAAAATTATAGCACAGGAAAAACTCACCTGTGGCTGATCCTGGGTTAATTCTGGCCACATGTGATCTCCCAAGCACTGCCAGGAGCAATACCAGATTTCTCCTAATCTACTGGTATTTAGACCAATTGCTGACACCACGGAGTCCAGCCAGCTCTGCATCCTCAGCTCTTGCTTTAACGTGCAGATGTCATTGGCAAAGAGTCCTGGGAAATCTTGTGGGTCTTTGAACACTGTCTGAAGGGTCCTCTGGTCCCTCAAAAAAGAAGGTTTGGATCTACAACAACATACATGTATCTTGTGGGAACTCTGTTTATTTAAATAAGCCAGACTCAAATAATCTAATGATATTATCTCACTTCTATGTAGAGTTCAAACCAACACAAAAGAATTGAGAGATCCAGAGGACAGAATTGTAAGCGCCAGAAATGGAGGTGGGGGTGGGACACGTGGGAGAAAATGGTCGAAGGGTGCTTCCACTTATAAAGAAGGAAGTTCTGGAGCCAGCGGCGAGACTCAATGGTAGAGCCCATGACCCTCCCACATTCAGGGCCCTGGATTTGATCCCTGGCACCATTTATCCCTGGCTCTGACCATAGTGCAGAGGAGCCCCTCCCCCCACAACAATCTTTCTAAACAACAAATGCAGGCTGAAGAGACAGTACTGGGATTCAGATGCTTGCCTTGCCTACGGTCGACTAGTTTTGATCCCCAGCACTGAATGGATCCCCTGAGCACTACCAGGAGCGATCCCTGAGCACAGAACCAGGTAGAAGTGCTGAGCACTGCCAGATGTGGCCCAGGAAAAGTAGATAAATGAATCTTGGTGATGTGATATACATCAGAGTAGCCATATCTAGCATAGCTGTGCATGTCACTGAGTTGCTTGCAGTATATCTCAGAAAGATCAAATGAGGGGCTGGAGCAATTGCACAGTGGGTAGGGCGTTTGCCTTGCACGTGGCTGACCCTGATTTGATTCCCATAATCCCATATGAGCACCACCAGGAGTAACCCCTGTGCATCGCTGGGTGTGACCCAAACAGAAGAGAAAAAAAGGAAAGATCAAATGAATAAGAATTTGTGGCCACATGTTGTATATATTAACCAAAATTATTGCAGTGATCATTTTGCGATCTATCATGTATAGCAAGTTATTAAGCTACACAGCTAGCATTAATATGCTATGTTTCAACTGTCTCTCAATAAATAAATAAATACTAAACCCAGCAAGATTTTGTCCTATTTTCTTTGGGTTGTCAGAGAACTGGCTTGAAGTAATTCATGTATACAGATTCTCTTCCCAATCCTTCTAACTTGTCTGTGTCTCTTCTACACTGGATGGGCCGATTATTGCTATTTTCCCCATGAGGCTGAATAGGTCTTTTATAGTATTTGTGTTTCTTCCATCGTATAACAAATTCTTATAGGCACCTATATTTATCAGTCCCTAAATTAAGTGTCAAGGAAATGGTGAAAAAGACAGTTCTAATCTTTCAGTATCAACCAAGTGGAAGAAAGAGAGTGCATAAATATGTTTATATTGAGGAAAAAGTTTCAGGTGCTACCAGCGGTACCAGTGTGAGGGATGTCACTGGGTTTGGAGTCCCAGAGAGCATTACTACTGGAAGGAGGGTCACAAGGAGGTCAGGTAACATTCAGAGTGGATGGGGCCATGCAAGGAAAGGAAGTACTAGCTACATAACAAGCTAATTGAAAACATTTCTTTCCTATTTCATAATGATCCTATATACAAAGGTCAGATGTTCTTTTTTCTGATTAGTTGCAAATCTCAGTATTTGTATTTTTCTACATTCCTCCTAGAATGTGGCTCTCTGCTTTATGAATGTACGAAGACTGTTTGCCCTTTAAGACTTTAGTAAAAATGAAGTTAATTACAGTGAAATATGTCTGTGTTTGGGAGGAGGAAAAAAGGAGTGAGGTTCCAGCTGGCAGAAGAAATGGAAAGGAAACATCACATTGGGGGAGAAGGAATCACTTTTTAGGCCCTGGCGGTCTGGGCTTCTCACAGAATGGTCTGAACTGGAACACCCTGGGTCGATGGACCCCTCCATGGGCGACCTTCAGAAATACATCTCCACTGTGTCCATTCCCAACTCAGGGAGAGAACACCGAGGTGCCTCCGTCTCTGTGCCCCAAGCTGCTGGCTCCTTGGAACCAGGTGTCATGAATTAACCGTCCCACATCTGAACCACCTCTTTCTCTAGCTCTGCTGGCCTCCCGACTTGCAGGACTGGGTGCATTTTGTAGGGTCCTGCACGCCTCTGGGATCCAGGCCAGCGTGGTCTGGGTGAGCGAGTGCCAGCTTTTTCTCCCCAATGCTCATAGCAGAGAGCAAGACATTGGGGTGGACAGAAAAGTGAGGGGGGTGGGCTTCTCGGTGACCTCAGGGTTGAAGAAAAAGTGTGCCCAGGGTGGAAGCTGCGGCACGTGGCAGAGTCGGCAAACAGGAACATATCAGCCAGTGGAGAAAGTGACCACCATCAGCACCTTGCTGTGTGGTCCTGCTCCAGAAATGGAACATCCTGGAAAGTCCCGCAAGGGAAAAATTTAAAGGGGCAGTGCTCTTCTGATTTGAAAGTGCTTGGGAGGGACAGAAGTCAAACTTGGTAACAATTCTGCAATTCCCGAGCAGTCATTTTGATTCTGGAGAAAATACATGGTGTGTGTGTGGGGGGTGGGGAGTGGGGTCTTAGAATTGGGGTAGTCTGCTCCAGTAATGGCAGGCATGTACCTCCACTCCCTGGCTGAGATGCCAGCTCACCAGAAATGGACTGAACTGGGGTGAATTCCTTCTCAGCTCACTTGAGCCTTCTGCAGTATTTTTCACAGCTGCCCCCTTTGTTTCAACAAGGACTGAGGATACTGCCTCCCAGTTTGGATTATACGCTCCTGCCCCAGTGCAGCCTCAATTTACCTCTTTGAGAGGGCTGTGATGAGACTCTGAGGTTTCCTGGAAGGAAGGTCAAGTATAGGATTTCTGGTCTTTCAAAAAACCCTTTTCTCCCCTTCTCCTAATCAAAAGCCTCATGGCTAATCTGCACTCATTGCTCCCCTCCCCCACTACTGCCCTCATCCCATTTAGCCCTCTGAGGGGTTCCTCAGTGGCCCATTCTAAGAACTGCTGGGTGGCGGGTGGCGGATGTGCCCACTCTCCCCCCGAGCCCCTCCAAGTGCATCTCTCCCGGTCTTGTTCCAACAGCACCGCCAGTCAGATGCTTATTCCAGCTTAGGTTTTGAACCTTAGCTCCCCTGCTGTGCCAGGGACGAAGTGAATTTTAACTCACTGGTTTAATCAGAAGATGATGGCTTTCTCTATTAACGTGAGATTAATTAGTAAAATAAAATCTCTCGGGATATGTGTTTTGGGATAAAGAGCTAAGCACAAACCCTGAAATATAACTTTTTAGAAAGACACTTAGAGGCCGTGGGACTTAAGAGATTGTGGGTTGATTCTGTTGGGGTCCAATTTCCAATTCCTGAGGTGTATGGGAACATTAATTACCTACTTTGTCCCTGCATTACCTCCACCATGTAGAAGCAATAAATGCCTGCCTCTTCAGGCTGTCCTGAGGATTAAGTCAGAGGAAAAAATGCATGTAAAGGGCTTAGGACAAAGCCTCAGTCTTGAGTGTCCACAAAAGACAGCTATTAATTAAAAAAATTAGAAATGTAAGAAAGGAAATGAAACGCCAACAGTTAATTCTACTGATGTGATTCTGAGAAATTTGGATTTGGCTTTTATACTTTTCCTTATTTGTCAAAGTCTTGAACATGTGACTTCCATTAAAAAAAAAAAAACACCCTGAACTTCCCACATTTCTGAGTAATGGTGCAGCGCTGTGGTCCCCACCCAGTCCAGACACAGTTCCAAGGGTGCGTTCTGTAGAGAATTTTTTGTTTCGTTCCCCAGCCCCAACCACTTTTTTTTAATTAAAGAAAAGGATAAAGTACACTTTCCAAAAAATGATTGTATCACAAGAATCTTTAATGTTGACTTCCAAGTTTACTCATGGTGGGGTTGTATTTGTAAAGTGTGCCAAGTACCCACATCGAGACTGCTTCACTCCGCACAGATGTTCCTGCGGCCCAACAAGTTCACAAAGAATGGGGGGGGGGGGTGCTTGACCTTGCCAGGGGCTAGGCCAGTTTTGCTGGGCAGGTCCTTCCAAACTCCCTTCTCAACTCCCCAGGCGCCCTCCACCCCAACACCCACGATCCGCCCCGTATAAAAGAAGTAGATGGAAAATTTCTCAATGTATTTCTTTCGGGGTTAGCACATCTCTGGTACAAAAGAAGAAAACAAATCAGAAACTCATAAAACTTTGAGATACAGAAGCGAAAAAAGCACCGACGGGTGGAGGGTGGGGGCCGGACTTAGAACTGCACATGCATAAGTCGTACATACTACGAGACAGGGTGGAAAGGAATCAACAACATTGCCTGGGAAGGTAGAAAAGCACGGGGCACTGGAAACTTCCAAGTTAACACGTGAAATACTGCACTGCCAGGCCCGCGGATTCGAACGCGCCCACCCCTCCCGCGCGCGGCCCGCGCAGGTCGGGGAGCCGGCGGCGAGCACCTGGCTAATCCTCCGGGCCGCCGCGGGGGCAGTGGGCGGGGGACTGGGCCTCCCGCAGCGCCCGGGCCTCCTCCAGCGCCTCCCGGTAGCGGGACGGCCAGGCCTGGGGGTCCTTCTTGAAGACCCGGGCCAGGAACTCCATGATCTGCAGCTTGGTGATCTCGCGGCTGGCGCGGGGGCCCCAGAAGAACTCGTACTCGGGGGGCTCCACGTGGGGCACGCGCTGGTACTTCAGGTAGTTCTGCTGCACGAACTCCTGCGTGATGAGCTTGCGCACGTCGCCGAAGGTCGAGTGCTTCTTCCAGGGCCGCAGCCCCAGGATGCGCAGCACGTTCCACACGGCGCTCTCGCGCGCGCCGCGGCCCTTCACGTAGATGAGGCTGAGGATCATGAGCAGCAGGCCGGTCATGGGCATGCGGTTGCCCAGCGCCACGCGCTCCAGCTCGGCGGGCGCCAGGGCCTTGACCAGCGCGAACTCCATGGTGTGCAGGCTGCTGAGGCGCAGGTGCAGCCCGAAGACGCGCGCCAGGATGAGGCTGGTGCGCCGCAGGATGCTGCGGCACCATTTCTTGTAGCTGCCGATGACGTCCTTCACCATGTCGGGGAACCAGATGACCATGCGCTTCTGGTCCTTCACCAGCACGTACCACATGAGCTCGTGCGCCTTCTGCACCAGCTGCGCGGGCGCCGGCGCGCCCGGCCCGGGCTGCGCGGCCACGGGGCCCTGCGGGGCGCGGCCTTCCCCGGCGGCGGCCGGCGGCGGGGCCTTGGGGTCCCCGTCCTCGGCGGCGGCCGGCGGCGGCGGCGGCGGCGGCGGCGCGGCTCCGGGCTCCCCGTCCTGGGTGGCGGCCCGCGGGGCCTCCCCGGCCGGGCGCTCGGCGTCGGCGTGGTCGGGGGGCGCGCGCGCGTCCTCACTGGGCTCCGACATGGCGGGTCGGGGGGCGCGGGGCAGGGCGGCCGGGCCGGGAGCTCGTGGCGCCGCCGCCAGCTCCGTGCTCGCCGGGAGAGGAAGTGGCGCGTCGCGGCCGCGCGGCGCCTTCCGCAGGGCCCGGGCGGGGCGGGGCGGCGCGGCCAGTGCGCGTGCGCGCGCGCGCGGCCCGGGGCGGGGCGCGGGGGACCCCCGGGACAGCCCTGCGCGCTGGCGGGGGCGGGGGCGAGCAGCTCGCGGCCCGAGCCCCGGTCTCGAGTCCCGCGCGCGCTCCCGAGCTCGGGGGGTGGGCGTGGGGGAGGAGGAGCACTGGAGAAGGAGCAAGTCGAGGGGACCGCATGCTGACTTCACTTCTACCGCTGAGGCGCTCGGATGCTGACGTCGGCGTTTTCTTTTCTTCTTTTCTTTGAGCCACACCCAGGAGTGGTTAGGACTTGTCCTGTGTCTGAGCGCAGGAGTAACTCCTGGCGGTGCTCAGGGGACCATATGGGGTGCCGGGGATCAAACCTGCATGCAAGGCAGGCGCCCTAACCCCTGTACTATTGCTCTAACTCCGACTTTTTTTTCTTTTTCTTTTTTGAGCCACGCCCAGCAGTGCTCGGGGCTTGCTCCTGGCTCAGAGCTCAGGAATCATACGTTTGAGGTACCCTGTGGTACACCCGGGATTGAGCCAGGTCGGCTGCGTACAAGACAAGGGCCTTCCCTGCTGGACTACCTCTCCAGCTCCAAGGCCAACCTTTTTCTTTTGTTTTTTGAGCTATACCCAGCAGTGATCAGACTCATGCCTCGCTCTGTGCTCAGGAATCACTCATGGTGGTGCGCTGGTACCCTATGGGAGACCAGGTACCTGAACCTTTGTCAGCCCCGTGCAAGGCACATGCCCTACCGGCTGCCCTATCTCTCAGGCCCTCAGCTTTCTTTTGCGGGGAAGGTCCCAGCGGGTAGATTGCGAATCAAAGGAGAGATGAGTCGACAACAGGGGTTCAGGATGCAGAGTCTGGTGGCCCGGAGAATGAAGGGGAGGATTGAAACGGAAGCTACAATTGAGGTGCTCAGAGGATGTTCAGGAACTTTGTAGAGCAGTTTGAGATAAGAATCCTAAAGCCGAACTAAGGATCTATGTTGGGCCCCTAACAAGCAGAGGGTTAAACCAGAGAAATGCTCATTCAGGACAAGACTAGGGTCTGAATGTTCATGCATACACACTTAAATCTTCCCAGTAAGACCCCACCATCCAGACAGCACACCATTTGTGACGGCATCCCCCTGTGCTTGCTCAGCACCTTCCAGCTGCCAGGGCCTCTGCTCTATTCCTGTGGAAACTTCACCTTCTCACAGCACCCCAGTCCCAACACCCCAGCACATTCCCAGTTTCATCGCAGGTTGTGGCACACACCTACATCTCCCGCGTGTCCCATAATCTTGGTCCAATAACCTGTGAGCGTTTGAGTTCCTTGGTGTGGAAAATAGGCCCACGTTGGGCCAAAATGAAGCGGATGTTCAAGGGTCAAAGGCATCTAGAAACATCGAAAAATGAAGGGCATCTGGAAACATGAGCCTCTTTGGTTCAAGCCTGTGTGATTTTTCCAGCCCTTCCTCGGAGTCCTCAGCAGCATTCTCCAGGCAGGCTGTGGTGACCTTGGATCCCAGCATAATTAGAACAGCCTCTTGACTGGGGTCTGTTCTGTTTCCTTGTATCTAGTGCCTCCACCGACTCCTTTGCTCATATTTCTCACACACGTTTCCTCCACATCATTCAAATGCGGCTCTTCAGAACTTCTGTTTATGATCTTTGCAGTTTCTATATCCTTAATTACAGAGTTGTGTCATTTCCAAGGGTGTTTTCATTAGGGTTGGTTTTTTTTTTTTGGCTTTTTGGTTCACACCTGGCGATGCCCAAGTGTTTCTCCTGTCTCACTCAGACTCAAGAATTATGCCTGGCAGTGCTCAGAGGACCCTATGGAATGCTGGGGATCAAATCCGGGTCAGCTGTGTGTCAGGCAAAAGTCCTTCCCGCTGAGCAATCGCTTCAATTCCTGATCCATTATTCTGACAAATGTCTCTACTCAATTTGTTGTGCTGCTCTTCTTAAATATAATATTTATTTCCTGCATTTTTGCCTCCATCAATTTTCTACTCCCCCCCCTTTTATTTGGGTGTTTATTCTTTCCTAACTTTTTGGATTAGCTGGTTCACTCTATGTATTTTTAATAATGAAAATGTTTGAGCGTATTACTTAAACCTCAGCTAAGCTTTGGCCATGCGCCACTATTTTTTTGTCACTGTGAGGTTATTAAAATTATATCCTCATAGTTCACCCTCCTACATTGAGTAGATTCATGAAATTAAATCACAAGCTTGGGCACAAAAACTAGGGGAGTATAAAAAACACTTCTATTAAAAACGTATGAAAGCAATCATAAAAGCACAATAATTATAAAATTATGTAAGCTCATGCTGCAGTGAAATAGCAGCGTTCTTTAAGTTTCGGTCCTTCTGAGTTGGACTGAGCCTAATTCTGGTGAAGTGGCCAATAGTCCCCTCCCCCACACCCTACCCCGCTCACTTCATGCTCCTCACTCTGGCTCCTTTAAGAATGTACTGGGCTTGTTTGGGCCCCCAGTGAGGGTTGAAAGCCGGGAATGGTTATACAAGTTTGAGACAGCGCTGGAATAGCCTCCTTGTTCTGCTCGGCCTTCAAGCCCAACCAGGCTCCTGCAAAAATGATGTCATGGTCTTTCCAGGAAAAGGTCAGCTGAAGAGGTCCCACATCCAGCAAGAGGAAAATTCACAGTGGGGGCTGGGGGAACAGGAACCCTCAGGATCTCGCTTTCGGATGAGAAATCTGCACACGTGGCACTAGTTTCATCATGAGGTTCCCATAGACCCACAACACGGACCTTGAGAAAGATAAGTGAAAGGACAGATGACATGGTGGGAATGACAGGGAGGCCCGTGCTCAGGAGGCACCCTGAGCTAAGTCAATGGGCGTTTTTGAATGGAGCTTCTGAGGTGCCCTGGCAATGTTTGGGATCCATTTGGCCGTCTGCAGAGGGTCTGCCCTATTTAATAGAAGTTGTGAGTTCTCTCAAAGTCAGAAGTTTCAAAACCAAAGCTTGAAGTTTTCAAATTGTCTCCCCAACTCAAACAACAACAACAACAAAAACCCACACAGGGGCACGCTTTAGATTAAGCTTCTGTAAATAGAAGTTGCTGGGATACAGAAAGTCGATGGAGAAGTTTTCACTGAAAATATTCTGGTGCAGACAGTTCTGCTGGTGGGTTACTTCAAACTCTGTAATGTGGAACAGATTACACAGCTGTGGAATAGGCTGTTCTTGGCAGACTTGGGGCTAGGAGGGGAGGCTTGTCTTGGCACTGGTTTCCATAGTGAGTGGAGGAAGGGGGGTCCGCCACACAGCCTCTGGTGGGCAGGGTGCATGCTTTCAGAGCAGAGGCCCAGAGGCCCCAGATGAAATGTGAATCCTCTGGCTCTTTCCTGTCTACACAAGCAGCACCCTCCACCTTGGAGCCCCTATACGGGGCCTCAAATGCCTCGCAGGCCAAGGAACGGAGACAGGGAATTCACATTAATATGTTCAGCAAATATTGAGCAATGTCTACCATATGCCTGAGCATTTTTTTTTGCATTTTTAGAAAAGTAACTCATTCTGGGGGGGGGGGACGGGGGACCAGTCACAACGGGATTGTTTGGCAGGCTGAGCGCTTTTTGCTAGGAAATAATAAAAGAGGGAGGACAGGAAGTGCTGCTTTGCACAGTAGGAAGGCTGGGCAGGGGGATGGGGCGGAAGGGAGTCCACTTTGGTGCCCCATCCCCCTTCCAACCTCTCTTGGTCCCTCTGCACAGGCCTGTCAAACCGACACTCCAGCGCTCTGAAACCGGAGACATGTTAGTGGTGTCCTGGTGTCCAGGCCCCAGATGCCGCCTGCCTCATCTCAGGGATCAATGGTGTCAGAAGTCTCTTTTAGAAAGGTCAACCGGAATCATAGTTAAGACAAATTGGGGGCAGGTGGATGAGGAGAGGCAGAGAGACCAGTGAGGAGGCCATTGGCAAGAAGCCATCAGAGAGAGGATCATGCCTGGCATCTTCTCTTCATCCTGCATCTCCTAATTTAGCACTAGATTTTAGACCAGTGCCTGGGGCACATGATGCAGAGAGATATGATCTCTGTCATACATATGGGACCCAGGAGAGAAAAAAATGAATTCTAAGCAAGAACAAAAATGAACAACGGTAGTCATTGTGGGTGATTTGCAGGGCAAAACCATCATACTGTGGCCACAAAGAGTGGGTCAAAGGGAACCTGATAGCCTTAGGAGTTGAAGGAAGATAGGAGCAATCCTGGAAGGTGGAGAGAGAGAGACTGTGAATACTAGGCCAACAAACCTGTCTCAATGATGAGGGGGTCAAGCAGTGAGTGCTGGTTAGGTAGGATCAGGGGCACCGCTTTGTGGACTCTGGGGAAAGATCTGTTGGGGATGAGAGAGAAGACATGCCCAGAAAATAACTAGATGTATAAGACTCAGAGAAGAGGATTGGTTGGAAGAGAGACGCTTAGGAGGTCAACATTATGAAAAGTATCACCCAGTAGAGTATCTAGACCAGGATCCTTACAAAGGAATGATCCAGGGCTGAGTTAGTGTTGTATGTTAGGAGTGTAACATACACTGCGGAAGTTGCCACTTCCATTCTTTTCGTAAACACCTTATGAATGAGAAAGGACACCTTCCCTGCAGAAAGGACATCTTCCCCATACGTGGCTGGCAGTCCATTCATGGATGGCTTCCCTACTCAGGAATTCTGAATATGACAAGGAGAGGGAATGTGGAAAGGCAAAATCCACCAATAGGTCCTGGGCTTTGGTGCTCTCTCTGCAGACTGTCACAATTCTCTCTCTGGATCGATTTCTGAACAGTCATTGCTTCATCTTCAACCATCATCATGAAGACAAATCCTCTTCAAGAAGGTCCTAGGCTC